ATATATATATATATATATATAATTCATGAATACATATTAAATAAATATTTGCACTAAATTGAATTAATAACCAAAGTTACTCTCAAGACTTTTTGGCTAGTTTAAATAAATAAAAAATTTACGAAAATAAATTATTTAAATTATGTTATATCATATTTTTTTTACCATTGATTTTTCTCTATTTTTTTTTCAATTAAATTGATTTATGCAACTTCTATCATGAATAATAATGTCTAGTAGAATAATGATGATAGATCATGAGCTAATACATATTAGGTAAATTTTTTTGGAAAGAGGTGTGTCACTAATAAACACACTTAAATACTAAGTTTGAATAATTATTTTCTAATATAATAGATCAAACAATGCTACAATTCTAAAGAATACTAAGAGTTTTCTTAGTCATTGTACTAGTGTGCAAAATAATGAAAAAATACTAATAATCTATATTGACTCTAATATTACTGTTAGGAATCAAAGTAACATAATAAGTAATTAAAATAAGCGATGAGAAAATAAGAACAAAAGGAGACAATAGGCATAATAGAAGAAAAAAAATACTTAAGGAGGAAATTACACCACTCCTCATCCTAAAATTCATTCCTTAAAATAGGAGAATATTACTCGAGAAAAAACTCTTAAAGTAGATAAAAAAAAAAAGAGGAGAAATTTTGGGATGGTGAAGGAGGGGGACCACTAAGCTTTATTTATAACTTTACTGGGATCCAAATTTGAAGTTCCCACCAACATGGAACTTCTACTTCTAACATTCTTCACCAACTCATATGTCTCACCTACTTTATATTTAGTTGAGTTGAAAGATTCTATTACTTTTTCTCTTGTTATACTCACTATATCCTTGGCCTTCATGGCTATTTCTCCAACATCAATCTTTACATTTGGAGCTATTATTTTCTCATCTATATCAAATCAATATGACGAACTTGACAATCTGACCCAAATCAATTAAATTGGTTCAATTTTTTTAAAGTCCAATTTGAATCTAACTAATTAAAATCAAGTATGTATCATTTTGATTATTTTGAAAACGTTTTTAAGTTACCATATATAGATTTTTTCATTCCTTTCTCAAATATTTAAAGAAACTAAAAGGAATTATATTGCAATATTTATATTGAGTGTCATCTTCACACAATAATGTATTTGAAATCCTTAAATAGATTAAGAAAAGAAACTAAGAGTAAATATATCCCAAATATTTCACTTTAGTTAATTTTTTTTATAATATATCAATTTAGTTCATGTTAAAAATTTTATTTAATTTGAAATTTTTTAATTTTTTTTATAAAAAATTCATTGGATATCCGATGATCTGAACCAAACTAAACCTATAAACATCGGATTGGTTTGGCTTTGATTAAGTAAAAAAATATAAAATTCAAACCAATTAAATTTAAATAGTTTGGATTGAATTTTCAATCAAACTCAAACTAACCTGACTTGTAAACACCTCTCTTTTAATCTCAACCTGAAACAACTATCACAACAATAGTGTCTATGTGAAAAAATACAACAGACCTATGAACTGTTACAATTACATTATTATCAATGTTTGACTGATCTAACCTAATACAGATTGCAGATGGACCAATGAGACTGTTAGAATGCATAACATTATTATCAAGAAACTTTATTTGAGAACCTCAAAATAACATAAGGTATTCACTTGAGCTTATACGTATTGTGCCACTGAACAACATCATTCTGCCTTTTAGTATCAAGCTTAAGAGAATCCGATGAACCGCCTTGAGCTTTTGAGTTTTGGTTCGCAGAATCAGATCCTCCACATACAAGGAAGCAGAAGAATGAAAAAGAATATAGGCAAACCAGATTTAATTTTCTTAATCTGGAAACAAAAAAAAAATCCAGCTTATCACCTTCAGATACAGTGGAGCACACTGGCTTGGTTTCAGTAGCAGCAGCACGCATTGGCAGGATGCCAATCAACCCCTTCTCTTCTCACTGCCAAAGTTCTTGTTCTGCCAACTCCATACTTCATTAACCATGGAAACAGTCACACGTAATGATAATTAAAGACATGCAAAATTATTTAAAAAGAAAAAAGTTTATTTATTTGGTACATGTCAATGCTTGGTTTAAGCCCCTTGCATCTAGCTTAAGCTGTAATGTATACATGCACTTAATTAGTAAGACTGACACATTAAATTTTGCAAAAACTAGAGAGGCATAGTAATGGGAGTTTGAAAACCTTGTGAACCGCTAGGCATTCAACTATTTGTTGCTTAACCTTCACTAAACCGTAGTGATCACTGTCCAGTTGCTTCTGTGCAGCTCTCAAGTCCACTTCAATCTCTTCACTGGCCTTCTGCCATGGCAGATCAGCAAGCAGCTCCAGGTAAACCCGTAAAATGTTATACCCTGGTTGCCGAGGCTACATTTCTTAAGCCTCCTGGCACAGAAAATAGGAAAATGAACTGTTTGTCTCTCGGATGCTATAAAATCACTTGAATAATGATACTATCATTTTCTATTTCAATTTACAGAACATTTATAGAAAATAATTGCCATATCATATCTAATTATACCACCATTGAAAAGCACCTCAACTCTGTGTGCCTGTTTGCATATATTCTGTGACATTCCTGCCCTCTGAGTCTTTCTTTTGAGGCAGTCAGGTCATCCACATCATCGTCATATTATCACCAAGTTCCTCATTTATCACCCTCATCTATAATATATTTTATAGATAAAATGGATAACAACATTCCATTTAGATTAACAAACAAATGAAGCAGAAATAGTTGTCAATATAGATTATTTTCTTTCCCACATATCATATATTACTGCCATTAAGAAAGAAGAAACATTCTCTACAAATACATACAGTGCACACAGACTTTGTGGTTGTCATATCATAATAGTCTAAAAAACTACTGGCTTGAAACATGTAATTGAATATTAGCAAAAGATTGTGAAAACTTAGAAAAAAGATTTATAGTTATGGATAATTATAAAATTAATTTCTCAGCCGGACATTTATTTATTCTAAGTAAAATTAATAACATACAATATGTCTCGTTTAATCATTTTCTTTAGAATGAGCAGAAACTCGACACATTTCTGAAACTGTTTTTATATATATAAAAAATACCATGTTGCAGTACCTCTAGAACCTGAAGAAACTCAGAACTCAATCTATGCTAGTCAAAAACTCTTGGGATCAAATGTTTCATGACTAAGTAGAGCTTTTCCTCAGGAGTATATCCAGGATGCTCGATTACTTCCATCCAATCAAGAAGCAGTGGCGATATGAGTTGCAACCTACCTATTTGTTGTAGCCACAAAAACAACCTTGTTACAATATGAAGTGCTTTAAGGGAGGACATGCATCAGGGCATATGTTTAGAGACATGTTTGCATTCATATTGTAATTACATTTAGGATCATTATGGATCATGCTTAGATTCATCATAGAATTGTATTTAAGATCATGAAAAACTCGGGCACACTAGAATTTAGAGTCACCATTCACATTGTACATACATTATGGCCACATCAAAAGGACTATGCTCAAATTCATTGTGCAATTGTAATTAGCATCATCAAAAACTCGAGCACTGTTACATTTAGAATCACGAAAGCAAAGTTGGACAGTGCATTCTGTCCCACTTTTACAACATGAAATGCTTTAAGGGTCAACCATTAAAGCACATGCTTAGATTCATTATTACATTCATATTATAATTGCTTTTAGGGCAATCAAGGCCTATACTAGCATTCATAATACATTATATAAATAATAATTGATTACGAAAGCAATACGATAATTTTAATAGAATACACAAAATAGAAAAATAAAAATCAACCAACACCAAATTTTAACGTGGGAAAACCCTCAATATGAGGTAAAAACCCACGGGACCTAGTCCAGTAAAAAATTCCACTAATAATAATCAATGAGTACACAAGTCTTCCTAGACCCTAAACCCTAAACAAGGGATAACAAGAAATAGTTTATCACCAATATGGTGGATAACAATACAAGAAATGTGTATCTAGCTAAACAATAGAGACTAAAATAAACAAAAATTGGTAACAAATATTTCTTCTCCAAATTGGTTGCTCTACTTCTTTCTTCTCACAAAGTTCTTCTTCTCTCTGAAGACGCTTTGAATTTTCCTTCTTCTAAAAGGTTGATATCACATTACAAAGACTAATCACACCTAATACTAATACAATTAACATACAACCAACATATTGGACTGTATTTATTTATTTATTATTATTATAAGTCATCGAGTCCAAATAAATTGGTGAACAATTTCACAATCATAATGAATCAAAAGGTGCAATTAGAATCTTGAAGAGCCACGCATTCCATCGGGATTAAAATTATGAAATGAAGTACTGATCTTGCAACCAAATTCACTTCAGAGTCACAACGTTAGGCTAGGGTCACCAAAGGTCATGCTGAGTGCATAAAGAAAAAGTAGCAAGCAAAGGCCAACCATCGGCTTCAATCATGGGCCTTAATGATGGCCTCAGTTTCAGACTTGGCATCTCTGGATGACACTCTTTTTGGGGGTGCTAGGTACAAGGTGTCCTTCTTCACCCTCTTGCTTGAGTCTGCTGCTTTTTCCAATTAAAGATGCACCATCTTTTATTTTAACCTCCTCTTTGACAATAGAATCATAGATTTAATCTTTGAAGCAGAGTGATGCGCTTCATTGGCAGCTCCAAGACCCACTCTTGCTACTCATAACATCCAGCACAAGAGAGTCAAGAATCAAGAATAACAATCAGTACAAAATCTTTAAGACCCAAAACTCACAGTGCAATCAATCGGACATAAAAATGCAAACAAAGAGAGGGAAGGTTCTATAAAACACTTTTACAGCAATCGTATGTGGCGGCCATCTTTTTCAGCAAACAGCAACTCTCCTTTCCCCTTTCTTGTTCTCGCGCCATTTCTTCCCAGCGTGTTAGAGTCTCACTTTACTCCATTCCCTTGCTCTTTATTTATAATTCTTCGATAGGGCCGGCCTGGGCCTGGTGTTTCTTTCCAGGTGCAAGGGTCCATCACCAGGCCCATTTTTCTTAAAACTATATAATTATAATTTTTATATTATTAATTTTTTAGTATTACATTTGTAAAAAGCTATAAATATGTTTTTATCTTTCTAAAAATTTATAAGTTTGGTTCTAAACTTATTTTTTTTATTTTTTTATTTTTTTTTAAATTTGAACATATATTACTTTTGACCTTTAAAATTATTTTATAATATATTATAATAAATGATTGTAAAACAAAATTAAATACAAAATGTAACATGTCTATTTTAGATTTGTTAACATTATTATTTATTTACGTAATAAAATATGTTACTTCTTATTAAAGGTCTCGTACATTGATTTATGAATTTTTTTGAAATTTTTAATTAAGTCCCTAAAGTTAAAAAAATTGTATTCTCTCTATCTCTCTCTTTTTATAACTTAGTTCTTAAGGCTAGAGATTTGTTGACATTTCATGAAATATGACATTTTTACCTACACAATCACTTTAAATTATTATTTTATGTATAATTATACATGTCAAGTAGATTTTTAATCTATTTATAAAAATTTTCATAATCTCCTTAATTATAAGAATTTTAAAGTAATAGAAAATTTTCATCAATAAAAATTAAAAACTAATACACATGAATAATGACATTAAATAATAATATAATATTATATCAAAATAAATATTAGAATCATAAACGAATCTCTAATTATAAGTACTTACGATTAAATTATAAAAAGATGAAAGATTAAATTATAATTTTTTTAGTTATACCCAAATTTAAAAATTTTAAAAAAATTCATAAATCAAGTGTTATATTTAGTCTTAATTAAATCATGTATTTTTTTTTATATTTTAATTGATTACATTTCAAATAGTTTATATATAGAGGTTCATACTTATTATTTCATCCAAGACCCATAAAAGAACAAGACCCTTTGAAATAATATTTATTATTATAAAAATTTATTTATTATTTTAACTTGGTTAATTATACTTTTGTTCCTTTTATTTATTTTTATGATTTAATTTGATTTCACTATTTTTAAATGTTTCAATTTGTTTCTCTAATTTTTACAAAATGTTTAATATTATCTTTTTATCCAAATTGATACTAATGACATTAATAAAATTGAACAAAAAATAATATTAAATATTTTTAAAAATCAGATAACTAAATTGATTTATTTAAAAATAGTATAACCAAATTGAACATTTCAAAAATAGAGAAAAAATTACGTATCATTTTTTGGTCAAGATAAATTTGAATTGTCTTTTACCTATTTAATAAATTTTTTTATTAGATAACTCCTTTATTTTGTGATAATTTTTTTAATTTTAAATACTCAATTTATTATCATTTATGATCTTATCAAGATAAATAAAAATGAATAAGTTTATCTAGATAAAAAAAATATTAGACAATTTTTTATTCAATTTGATATCACTATTTTAAAAATGTTCAATTTAATCATTTAATTTTTTTAAAAATATTTAATATTCTCTAATTCATCATTTTATATTTTTAAATAAAATAACTAATTTATTAAAAAAAACATACTAATAACATAATTAAAAAAATGTATTCTTAAAACATCTTATACTAATCAGGAACATAAATTAATTAATAGTTGCATACACTCAAATGACAGGGTCGGGGATTAAAACATTGAGCTACCTTAAAGAATAAGATCAATTTTTTATTCATTGGCCATGTGAATTTTTTTTTTTAAATTCATTGCTCATGAGATTGAAAATCTACTCAAATACAGTCGAAGCAAATAAAACAAACAAATAAATAAAATTGGCGGTGTGAAGTTGTGAAACTCTGCATAACACAATTGAAAAAAAAAAAAAAAAACTAAGCATAAAGCGATAAAATGAGAGTGAAAATGAAGCTTGACACGAGCATGACCATCAAGTGTATGCTCCTTTCTGGTGCAGCAGAAGCAGGAGTGGACTTCCTTTCATGCTTCCCCAGATCGATCATGATCTTAAACTGACAAGCGCTTTGAGGTGGTGAAGGGTTTATGTTAGTGATGACAGAGAGGCCATTGAATTGGCACGCATCTTTGCGTTGATTCATTGTTTGATAGTACATGTTGAATGCATAAGAAGCATTGCCTCTTGTGTCCAATCCACTGCATGAAGCCCCAGGAGAGAGACAAGTACAATCAGCATATGTGCATGCTTTGCTCATGCTATCTGCCAGAGCATTAGGGTCTTGAACATTGGCTTGAGTTGACATGACACACCATTGCTTTGGCAAATACTTGACACCCTTTGCACCAACAAGTTGTTTCCCTCCACCCAAATTCAAAGGGTACTTGATGGATCCATCAAAGTTGAAGACCCCCCAGTGCCTCTCAAAAGGGCCAGGCTCAATGCTCTTGGCATCCTCATCAATGAAGCCAAAGAGGTAGATATCAGGAGGGGAAGGTCTCTTGGGGCTTCCTTGTCTTTTGACAATTCTGTCAATGAGGCCTTGGTTGAACCTTTGGGCATTCTTGATGTTGGCATTGGCAGTTCCATCAGTAGGCCAACCAACCTCTCCAATGATGACAGGCATTTGGCCAAAGCCATTCTTCTCAAGGGCACTGATGAGGGTGTCGTAGTTGGCATCAAAGACATTGGTGTAGGTAATGGAGCCATCAACCACAGGGGCAGCTGAGCCATCAAAGAAGGCAAACTCTTTGGGGAAGTGAGGGTCAGCATCAAGGCTGAGGAAAGGGTAAATGTTGAAGGTTAGAGGGCCACCGTTTTGGCTCAGGAACTTGATTATGGAGATCATTTGGTCTTGTATGTCTGGCCTGAAGTTTCCACCTGATGGAAGGCCACTGTCACTTTGGTACACATCAGCATTTAGAGGTGTTGTCACCTTCACTTGCCTCCCTAAGCCTGCTTTTATCAGGGCTGCTTGGATGTTTTGGATGGCTGGAAAAGTTGAATTCACAAACCTACCATTGTATGTTTTCAGAAATGCCTCATTGCCCACAGCAACATACCTACCAGTTTCGCAAAACACTTGTTAAAAATGCAATTCCTTTGCAACTTAAAGTGGATCAATGTGTTTTGGGTCCTAATGTTATTTTTTTTGTTTGTTAAAATTGATTCTCATCTAATTTTTTTACTAAAAAATTATGATGTTTGGTTAATAAATAAAAAATAAGAAATAAGAAATTGTTTTTCTTCATCAAAGATCAAGTTTAAACTTTTAATTGTTATATTTTTTTCTTCTCATTTATCACCATTTTAACCTTTTGAAAGAAGTATACATTTATATTAAAATTCATTATAGTAATTACGCACTCAACCAATTTTGGTTCAAAGTATTCAAACAACATTATCTTAAAAAATTACTTTTCTAATATATGTTATCCAAACAAAAATTAAATTGCTTCAAACTTAATTTTAACCATAACTAGTTCTAAACTAAATCACATTTTACCTTTTAAAAAGTGTAACACATGAAAGCATATTGAAATAAAGAGGTAGTAATATTAACCTTATATCAACCCCATTTTTGGATATGTAAGTGGAGACGTTTTGGTTGACCCATGCAATGGCAGCATTGACATTGGTAGCAAGGGTTGCCAAGAGGTCATTTGGTATGCCAACCATGACCTGAATGCCAGACTTTCCTAGAGCCTTGAGTGCATCAGGATCAGCCTCAAAGAGCTTCACTTGCTTGAACCCATTGTCCTTCATCATTTTCACAGTTATTTCAGGTGGAAGGGGATGCGTTAAACGCGTTCCCCAGTTGCATGCAAAGCCATGAGCACCCTTTGCCAAACCTTGGCTTAGAATGCATAGTGCCAACAAAATGCACCTAGTCAAATGTTGGAACCCCATGTTGTGTTAATATGTTTTTTTCCTACCTCGAATTACCTACGTTTCTGAGTACCCTCTGTCCCAACGCTCACCTATATGAAGATGATTATTCTCAATAGAATTTTGATTAAAAAAAGTGGGGAGAAAAATATGTACTTTTATTCGGTAGAAAGTTACGTAAAGAATTGCATTTAGACTCAACAAAGCACTGGATTCCTTAACCCTTTGGATGACACCATGCCAAGGCATAACCTTTTATTTTTTAATCTTGAAAATGCGTACGTGGTGCGAGAGGGAGAACAATCTAGCAAAGAAAGGTAGAATCAGACCAAAAGGTAAAGAAAATCCATATGTAATCTATAAGGGTAAGCCAAAGTTTATTTTTAATTAATCAATTCCAACTTTCCCCAGAAAGTTTCATATATTTCTTTTTGCTTACAAGAAACTTACAGAATATGCAACGAGAGTACATATGATATGAGAAGCAACTAGCAAACATGATTCCCTAAATAATCAACCAGCCATCGGGCGTCCGGAGAAACAGTCAACAGGATATCCAAGGGGTCCTTTCATATTTTCACAAGTTTAAAATATAATTTTTATATTCAAAAATATTGATTTATTATAAGTTGTAATATAATATAATTTATATACTTATAATTTTTTATTTATTATAATCTAAAATTATATAAAATAAAATAAAAATTATGTACGTTGCACATGCTAGTACTCTATCGTCTTTTCTCATTTCTATTTTCTAAAACAGTTTTTGAATTTTTTTTTACTACATAAAATTAGTTTTAAAAAAAAAAAAAACTCAACTCAATAATACACCTACATAATGCTCTTGGTTTCAAATTTTGCAAAGTACTATGTTAAATATAACAATTGTTACTTATAAATTGAAATGCACGATTTAATATTTTTAATATTCTCTCTTTTCTATCGTCTAAATATGTATTTCACATATTATTCCCATATTTCACATTTTTTTATTCATTAGAAGGATATTTTACATGTATAGCAATTCAAATTGTTCACTGTAAATTTAAAATATAATCTATATATCTAAAGACAATTATTTATTATTAATTCTAATAATAATATGATTTATTTATTATAAATTTTAATTATATAAGATAATCATTTATCTTATGTGATACACAAACTAAAATAATAATTTACTAAAATAATAATTTTTATTATATTTTTCATGATCAATTGAAACGAACAAAAGTGTATGTACTACTATAAATAAAAGAAATAATTAAGTATATTCTCCCCTTTCAATTTAAAATTCTGCCTTAATTAAATCCCCACGTTAACTAATGTTAAAGTAAATTTATGTCTGTAATTAATTTTATTCTACCTTCTTTTTTTTACTCATTTACTTTGAATTAAATCATAAATTATTTCAAACATTTGCTTATTTAAAATTAAAATTAAAACTCTTCAATTGAACAATTAAGGTTTTTCTAATGGTGAGAGATTTTTGGAATAGAATACAAAAGTCTTTAAATTCAAAGTATGATGCTGTCATTATAATTTTAATGAAATAAAAAAAAAAAAAAAAAACTCTTCAACCAAGACATTAGTTTTCACCTAAAATTAATAAATATTCCCCCAAATTACTATCGGTCAAATTCCAACATGACAATGCATGTCTATTACATTAACCTCACATCTTTTAAAATCTTTCAAGTTTTTAATAAAATTTCACACTTATTAAAATTTTGAAATGATTATATATCCTAAATTCATTATAAACATTTAAATATTTAATCAAAAAATATGAATTTCAGGATTTTAAGCAAAAAAGAAAAAAAAATAAAGACTACTTGAATTTTAAAAATACAAGATCTTAATTTTTTTAAAAAAAATCAAGATTATAAATAGTTCAAAATCAAAATTAAAGCAGAATTATTAAAATATTAATTGGATCAAGATATTTTGTCTTTATATATTTTATTAAAATATAAAATAAAAATAAAGAATAAAAGATGAAAGAGATGAAATGAAATAAATGAATATTAGTTTTAAAGGATAAATTAGTCCTAATAAAAATAGAGATAAAAAAACGATTAAAAATTTTGATAATATTTTTATATGTATATATGTATAGACAAATATGAATGTTGCCCGCGAAATGGACTTCTTTCCCACCTACAATGAATATATCATCTGCCTTTTTTATTTATTTATTTATTTATGTTTTTGGTGGAAGGTAGGGTCAAACCACGTAGAACTATGGGTTAACAAGATCCAATCCTACACGA